TTAAGTAAGACACGGGATGAGCAGCTCTTTGAGGTTTTCTTATCTGTAACGGAAGCATCAAATGCTTGAGGCTGCATTCACACCAGCTCTGTTTGGCTCACTTTCATCAGACTCCAGTTCGTTTGTCTAGAAAGTCTGGTTCTAGACAAAAAGAGAACTCTTTGTTGAAGTGAATTCTGGTACGGTTTCGATGCTTATGTGAACATCAAGTGGATTGGAGACCCCTCTAAAAGCAGGAAGTGGACTAAAATGCAGGGTATTCTGGGTAAATTCAACAAAACAAACATGCTAGCTTAGCACTAACGGAAGAAATGGCTTGCTGTCTTTTACCAAATATAAAAGAGAAATCCAACAGTCGCTCAAATCTGAGCTACACCGTCTTTGTTTACATTTCCTAAAGAAGAAAGTTGCACTCAGTGTCTTTTTTGAAGGTTTTTTGTCGTTTCCTTTGGTGGTTCTTGGTGCAGCGCCCCCACAGGCAAGGAGGGGAACAGATTTTTCAATTAGTTTGGTTTGTTTGACACAGTGCAGGGCGAAAGATAACAGCAGCTGAACTTTTAACAAATATTGCAGTTTTGGTCCCAAATCGAACCAAAACTAATCTGTTGTATCTAAAAGCTCGGCCTGGGTTCGGTTGAAGTGAATTCTGGTGCGGTTCGAATAAGTATGTGAACACCAAGCGGACCAGAGACCGCTCTAAAAGCAGGAAGTGGACTACATCTAAGAGCATTCTGGGTAAATAAAACCAAAACAAACTCACAATGCTAACGCTGTTTTTTAACCAAAAGAAAAGTGAAATCCTAAAATCCGATACCACTCCATTTTTGTTTACATTTTGTGAAGAAGGAAGTTGCGGTCAGTGTTTTTGTGTCGTTTCCTTCAGTAGTTTGTGATGCAGCGCCCCCACAGGCGAGGAGGGGAACAGGTTTTCCAGTTAGATTGGATCGTGTGACCCAGTGCAGTGTGAAAGCAAACCACAGCAGCTGAAAACGGAGGAAATGTTGTGACTTGCTGTCTACCTGTGAGAAAACACCCTAAAATCCCGGTTCCTGTGAGCGAGGACAGAATTATCCCTCGCAGGCTGATTTTTACTGTCTTTTAATGCCGACAGGCTGTTAAATAACCTGCAAAGAGATGAAAAATAATAATAATACGGAGGCGATTCAGCAGCAGTGGTGCAGTCAAGGGCAGCGGTTACTCATCTCAGCCTGATCTCCTGATAGAACGTGATGCCAAATGCGGACGTCCCTTTGGCTCGGTGCGCTTTGCGCTATAGGCAAAGAGCTTGATGTTCGCTGGAGAGGACAGGACAGCAGCAAAGTGGATGCTTGGAGAGCTTCCAGGGATTAAACTCATGAATCTAACAGCAGCCAGTGGTCATCGTGACACAAACAGTGCATGGGTGGGAATGTGCGTGCAGCACGCTGCGGCGCTGCTGCGGATTTGGGGAAGCAGGGAGGAAACGAGGGAAAGCCATAAACGCCTGCAGAGCGCCCTTCCATCTTCATGCTGCACATTTGATGGGTGCTACATTTTTATTCGAGACGACACATGCTTTGTAGCTCGTGTCTCTCCATGGCTCCGCTAAGTGTTTTGAAGAAGAATGTGGCTCAAATGATGAATAAAAGATTGGTGTATTTGGGGTTTTATCTCCATGACATTAGGGACTTTTTGTCTGCAGGATGTTTATATATTTGAGGATTTTATAACAGATAATCATGACCTCATTATCCTCCTGTCTGAGAAAATTACTTGGATTTACTTTAGACTCTGATTTTATTATCTTGTCATGTGCGCTGAGCTGCTTTTGCAACATCTTGGCTTAATTATGAGGCGGTTTATGTTTGCAGAGTCTGCTGTTTCCAGACCATAAAGGCAGTAAATCCCTAAGCTGGACAGACAGTCGGATTCACTGCAACGTCTGGATGGAGGGAAGTTTTCAGAGTTTCACCAAATCAGGCTGGAAACGACATCAGGTCAGCTGGTGTAGAGCAAGAAAATGGTTTTATCTGTCAGTTTATTCAGTGAAATTCACCCGTTTATTAGTTCATCCATCCATCCTGTTATATTAATCAGTTTTTCCATCTCTGTTATTTTATCCATTCATGGTTTCTTCACTATGCGATTATTTTCTGTTTCTCCAAAACATTTTGATTTGATCTGCTCAAACTTTTTACATTACAGCTCTTAGGCTTTTTTAAAAATCCGTTTCAACTCTCCTGTCTCCGTCTGTCACGGATGTTTTTTCTTCTCAGTCGCCCCAAAATCCGGAGTCCTCGAACTCAAACTGCAGTTTAATCCCACTAAGTTTCATTTCTAATCTTTTTGTTTCAAACTAAATTGCCTCCTTAAGTTTTCTTGTCTTCCACGTAAAACACCGCGGACCTGTTCAGGTTGTTAAATAACAGGATGTTTATTCGGGTTTAAACTCTTCTCACTGCTTCTCCTCCCCGTTTCCCCCCTAGAATAAAAAAAGTCAGGAATCACCATGGCAACCAGTGACTCAGCATTTCTTCTGGGTTCCTCCTCAGCCTGATCTTAATCCGTCATGAAATGAACTCAAAATCTTTCATGTCTACCAGAAGGTGGTTCTTCTTCTTCTGCTCTTGTTCCGCTTCCCTGTTAACCTTTCGGAGGAATGTGAATAGTCTGAAAGCTCTGTGAACGCCTTCTGCGCCGTCAGCATGTAAACACACAGAGTGACGCGGCGGCCATGTCTTAACGCCACACGATTCCTCCCTGACGGCTCATGAGTCTTTTCAGTTCTGCTCTTCTTTAAACCTTCATGTTGAGGTGTTTTTTTTTATAACCTCATTTACGAATCACGCTTCTGTTTCTATGAATGAGCGGTACCTTCTGTTTTCAGCCCAAACAGTGTATAATGTATTTTTTTGTTTGTTTTTTTGCCATCCCAGAAGCTTATGAGGCCACTCTGTGGATCAACAATCAGAGGCAGAAAACAAAAGATTACAGGCTAATCTGGTCAAAGCAGAGCTCTGGACGAAGCATTTATGAGCCGCTTTAGTTTGATTACACTCAAACAGAGGAGTTTACAGGCTGAAACAGATCCCAGCTGATTGGTTCAGACCCGGAGGAGCAGGAGGAGCTGCTGACCCGTCACACCATCTCCTGGATTTAAATACAATCAGGACCTGATAACCTTTCATTATCTGCCTGTACAAACCACTGGCCCCAGCATCCTGCATACAATCACCTGATCAGCAAAATAGATAAATGAGATGAGCTGCAAACACTTGAATTGTTTTATTTTGTAAAGTATTAAAGCAGTTTATCTTTAGTGTGAACCTTTCTTGAGTTTTTGTGTTTTTAGTTTCTCTACTCTGCCTCATATTTCCCATCATAAATTGCCCCTCATATAAGCTCTTAAAGGGGCAGTATGCATTGTTCTCATGTGATGTCTCACCTCCAGGACCTTTGTAACATTTTGGTAGCTGCCTACTAGTTTGGGACTAGCTCTCACCTCGTTGCTACGGCTTATAAATAATATGAATACAGTACAGTTTTTGAGTTCTCTACCCACCACTGAGAAATATCAGGGATATTTACTGTAGTACTTACTGCCAAACTGGCTAATGTAGCTTTTATCTGCTAGCGGACATGTACGGGTTTGTTACTACATGTACTCACTCTGCCAGTCACCAGAACCTTGTTATTCAAGTGAAGAGTTCGTATGTCCTTTACAAATCCAAGACGTTGATTGTGTGGATCCATTGATTCCCAGTGAAGCTCCTCCATGTTGTACGAACCCTTGCTAGTGAACTATGTCATAAAGAGGAGGCAGTTTGTCCACGTGGTTGGACATGTTTTCTTCTCCATCTCATACAAGTCAATCCTGACTGGCAGCCATTTTGTTGATGCATCTTTCTCTTGCTCACTGGTCAAGAGTGCCTACCAAGATGGCGGATCATTTCTGGTTCAGGCTTGTTTGAATTATCTACAATCATGTTATAATGTTATTTTCAGATACCTGAAGTGTTGCCTTGATTCTTTCATGCATGTATGAGAAATATTTTAATCGTCATGGCAACCAATCAGCTGGGTGAACGCAGCTCCTTCAGACTAGCCAGCAGCAATTAGCACACACCTGGTGGAACTGCTGACGTCAATAAAGGAGCTGCTTCTTAGTGAAACGCTGGTAAATACGTTGCTAAAGGGTTAATAGAGGAGCCATGTTGTGATGACTTCCTGGAGGCGGAGCTTCAGAAAGAGCAGGAGCTTCTTAAAGGCACAGAGTCCTAATTTTAAGGTGTTATATTACAAAGTCATGTTAGATATACATAGCATTTTTATAACTGAACATAGTTACTTGATTATGCTATACAATGATGGTATGTGACTGCTAACCACCTGACACTGCCTCTTTAATTTTTCTCTTTTGAGCATTGGATTCTCTGTTTTTTGTTCCTGAGTTTTGTAGATTTTATTCGTTAATCTCTACAGATGATGACAAAATTCTTTTAAAAAAATTATCTAGATTCTTCATGGGGGTATTTGAATTTTTCACCTTTGGGCATGTGGATGTCATTGTTTTCTTTTTGATGCATTCAGGTGTTTTCAGATGTTCTTTTCATTTAAAATCTGTAAATTCAGTTCACAGATGTATAAAACATAAAGCTTTTAATCATATTATATGTCAATTTCTGAGTTTACATTCATTTTCTAGTATTTAGAAAATGGAAATGAATTGGATGTTGCAACCTGATATTGGAAAAGTTAAGTGTGACGATTTACAGTGTAGATAAATCTCAGCTGACTTGAACTTTTTGAATTAAATCAACTTTTCGCTGATATTGGTATAACAGCCCTTTGTTTGCTCTTCACCGAAATTGATCATTGATTGAATAATCGCGACGCGCCATCATCCAGTTAATCAGAGTTAAAGTTAAGCATCGTGTTTACGCAGCCTCTCACTATCTGCCCTTTGTTTTTGTCGCTCCATATCTGTGTGTGTGTGATTGTGTGTGTGGGTGGGTGTGCGTGTTTTTTCCTTTTTTTCCTCTCCTCTGCCTGTTCTGCTGGGGGACTTGTGAATGGCAGCCAATGGGAGGGTAGAGTCCCCTCAGCCTCTCTGACATCCACACAGCGAGAAGTGATGCAGCGCCGCTGAGACGCGCAGTCGGGGCGGAACAACGGGCAACAAAAGCCGCAGCGAGCGGATACTCCGCGATCCGGCGTGCGGGGTTTTTTCTTTTGCGGGTTTTCTTTTTTACTATTTTGTGCGTCGTGGGAAAATCTCTCTCCGCTGGAATAAACTTGACCCATCAGGTAAGCGCGGATTTGCTTCGCTTTTAACTTCCAAAACGCAGATTAATTATTATTATTATTATTATTATTATTATTATTATTATTATTATTATTATTGTACATCCCTTCAGCTTAAATACCAACCATGCTCCGTGAAATGACAGTGTCCGGATTTTAGCGAGAGGTCCGCACGTCTTTGCAAGTAAGCTTCAAAGAGAGCACCAATGGATGCGCTGTTAAATGAGGGTATTTTCGATGCGCATCCAGGTTTCTTTAACTTTTCCGATGCGTATTTCTGCGGGGAAACGCTGCGTGTCCTGCGCCGATCAGATGCGCACCTTTCCTGCTGGTTTGTCCCCGCTGGTGGCAGATCCACGCCGCGGACGGACTTCAGATGATGTGGAGTTTAGTCAAGTTGTCTAAAAACACCGCGTCCTCCAGGGTTATTGACAAGCACGACCTGTCCGTGAATGTTTAATGTCCTGCCTGAATAATGCAGCGCGGCTATGAAAGGCTGTTTTACTTGAGCCTGACTGATGTGTGCAGGGAAAAGTTGCCTCCATGTTGCTCAACCTTTTTGTAAAAACTGAGGTAATGTGTCTGATCGCAGCCAAGAAGTTGGATGAGTTTCTGCTTTGAACGGACGGAGTTTACATTTGAAAAGAAAGAGGGATTTTTTTTTTTTCAGTTTTTCTGGGTCTTTTTGTTTTTGGATGAAGAACTTCTGAGCTGCTCTGTGAAAGGGAAAGCCGGTCCGACCGGAGCAGACGGTCCAGGTTTGAAGTTCAGAGATGAAAGGGACAGAGGTGGAATCTGGCTGATCAAAGTCAAGCAGAGGAACATGGGCGGCGCTGCATATTTAAACCTGCGGGTGTGTGTGTGTGTGTGTGTGTGTGTTTTCCACCAGTATGAACAGGTTAATCGTGTGGAGCATCTCTCCTTCTCCCATATATCTTCACCCAGAGTGTTTTTGTGTTTTCCGACTCCAGATGAAGGGTTAGTGTTGCTCTGACGTCACAGGATGATGGGTTTACCCATAGGCCAGGCGACTATGACCGGTGACCCGAGCTGATGACATTATTTGTGCTCCAGATGGGCCTCATCGCGCTGTAATATTGAGCATTTCTAGTCGCCTGCACCGCAGCATCTGGAGCTAATGGAGTCCCGTCAGCCTCTGTGGATCCTAAAAATGATCCGGTTCCCTCCGTGGATCCGTTTCCAGCCCTCTGGGAGTCGAACCGGGCTTCCACCGGTTCGACTCATTTCCATTCATGGAAATGTGACATTTGTTTCTGGTTTTCTCAGTTGTTGACCGCCTGGTGTCTTTTATGACTCTGTTTGTTGTTTTGATGACGTAGAGCTCTTTGATTGAAATCAGGATCCTGGAGTTGCGTTTCATTTAATGCCCAAAGTTTTTGTGACTAAATAAAGTAGAAATGCTCCATAATGAGACGGATTCCTACCAGAGAGCAGGGTGGAGGTCCGCTCCCCTTAACGACGCAGACAAGAAACAAAAACTGGAATTTAAATCAATCAAGTTTATCTGTGTCACACATTTCAGCAACACACAGTTAAAAAAAAACTAAGCACATCATATAGTCAACAGTTGTGACAGATATTACATTTTTATCAACTATCATCAGCAAAATCATAAAAACACATAAAATATGTTTAATTTTCCATCTACTGTAAAGCTCAGTGTTTCGGTAATTTTGCTGTTTTCTGGACATTTCTTCCAGATTTGTGCCTCCTAGAAGCTGCATGTTTGGTTCTGGGTTTCTAGATTAAATGAGTGTAGCTGAGTCACAAAAATACAAAATGTTACCAAAATCTTCTATTTCAGTTCAGGTATTTTACCTATTTTAGCCAGAAAATTAGATTTTTCTTCCCCCACGAGCTTCTTTATTTAACACAAAGGAATCCGTTGAGTCGCTCTAACCAAAGCTAACAACCACAGCTCATTTTTAACCAGATTAAATATTGATTGATTCTTCAAACTGTTTGGTTTCCTTCTACAGTCCAGTAACGTTCATGTTTGCTTATTTGGAGCTAACTTTAGGCGTTTGTGTTTTCAATCTGAGTGATTCATAGAACATAGTTACACTGCAAAAACACAACATGTTACTTCAAGTATTTCTGCTCTTCTTTTAGTGGAACTATTTTAGTACATTTGAAATAAAACTAACCCACAAATACCTTTCCAGCTTGTGGTAAGCCAAACATTCTTTAATTTTGATTTAAAAAGTAAAGATTTTACTGGCAGATTATTTCACTTATAGAAAGGACGTCTTGATTTAAATGAAATAATCTGCCATTTTTCATCAATACTAATGAATTACTGACTTAAAACAAGCTCCTATATTTTGCGTAAAAGTTACTTGTAAGTTAATTTTTTCTTATTTCAAGATATTTGCACTGGAAACTAAACCAAAAATACTTGGTGAGCTTTTGTGGTTTTGTAGTGTAATCCTTGTGTCTCTGGAGATTTTCACAATAAGACATCTTGGATTAAAATGTCTGGTGCAAAAATTAATCTTACCAAGTATTTTTGGTCTAGTTTCTAGTGAAAGTATCTTAGTTCACTTGGAATAAGACAAAACTAACTCACCAGTAACGTTTCAGGTAGAAATAAGAACTTATTTTGAATCAATAATTTGCTAAAATTGTTGAAAAAGTTCAAGTTCCACTGGTTCTTGTTGTAATCTGCCAGTGGAACAAGAACCTTTTCATCAATATTAATAAATTATTGACTTAAAACAAGCTGAAGAGTTACTTGTAAGTTACTTTTATCCTCATTGAAGTGTAAATTAGACAAAAATGCTTGGTGAGACTTTGTGTTTGCTGACCACACGTGCAGCATGTGGCCTAAACGTTTGCTCATCAAGCTGAAAGCAATCCTTGTGGTTGTATTGGTTGTTTGAGGGCATAAGACTTTTCCTTCATGTGACAACAACCCATGATTCTCGTGTTCTCTGTTTGTATTCCTCATAAGTTCAGTAAGTTTCTCCAGTCAATGTTTGGGTTTCCTCACAGTTAGAGTAGCAACTTCATGACTCCATCTATGAGACGGTTTCCCTTCAGAGACGTCTCTGTGGAGCAGTAAGGACTCCAGAAAGTGTCGAAAGTATGGATGTACGTCTCGCCTTTTAATACGAACTCAAACAGGAAGCGGAAACTCTGACGTGAGTTCATGGATTCATCAATATCACGGCTTTCTGGGCCGTATTTGGTTACTTCAGTGGGTTTTTGAGTGAACAAGTAAGGATGTGGGTTTGAATGTTTGAGGTTTTTAGAACCAAACAATACGGAAAAGAAAATTAGGAAGGAGTAAAGTTAGTGTGTTGATGTTACTGAAAAGATTTGAGGACTCTTAACAGACGATGAGTTGTTCCAGATGTTATTGCAATAAACAATAATATTGTTTTGAGACCAATTTAATGTGATAATGGCATAATAATGCAAGAACACAACCTCAAGCTTTAAATTCTAATGAACATTTAACACTGGAGCTGGAAGACATTTTAAATATCCAAAATAAATAAATAAATCGACAGAAAATAAAATTAATTATGAAATATGTGTAAAAAGAAGGGGCTGGTTGAGACCAAAACACCAAAAAAAACCCACCAGAAAAACAGTAAATGATGCAATTGAAAATTATTGACCTCTCATGTGGTCAATTGATTTATTGTTTATTTTTAAAATAATTTTAAAAAATTATTTTGTTCAGACAGGGTTTAAATAATTTTGGGTTTTCCGTTATAATTTAGTTTTATTTTGTTTTACTTCATTTTTAGAGTTTTTTCCAATTTTTAGAATTAAAAAAGTGTCACAATATTTTGATTATGTTTGCATCAGTAGGGTAATAAATACTCAATAGAAGAAACCATTTCAATCAATCAATCAAATTAGCAAAGCACATTTCAGCAACAAAGCAGTTCAATCATCAACAACATACAGTCACCAACTGAGAAACCAAACAAACATTTTGATTTGTTCCATCGTCAAAATCATAAATTCATGTCAGATATGTTGGTCAATCTTCCGCTGATTATGGTTCAAAAGTTTTTATTTTAAAAAAATGTTTCCAGTTATTGTTAAACAACCGACTGACTTTGGCGTTTCATCCCAATTTCTGCCGTCCGCCATTTTGTGGACAAGCATAAGTGTCACCAGGAGGAAAAAATGTATTTCACATCAGACCCAACAGCTAATGCATAGATTCATAAACACGAAAATGAAGAATGCTATGTTTCAGTTAGCTTGAATAATACACAATGTAGTTCCAGTTAGTTTTAGTTTTCACCATTTAATTACCGTCTTTATTTATCGGGGTCGTTAGGTGAACATGTGCACCATGTGAGCTGGAAAGAAAGAATCCCTCAGAGACGCTTGTTGCCCGTTTGAGGGCATTGGTCAACATTTCCTTCATGCGATGAGAAGCTGGAGTTCCTTTGTTGCGTTGATCATGAGGCTTTGTTTGACCGTTGGAACAAATTTCCTCGCAGGCAGAGTGGGAACTTCATAACTCGGTCTTTGCCTAATGAGACGGATTCCCTTCAGAGACGTCTATTTATGGCGCGGTTGGAACTGTAATTGGAGGGAAAGCAACCTAAAGGGAAGAGATGATATTCGTCTTCTCATGCGTGACATGAAACACTAACGTTACTGTTGCTATGGGCAACGGACTCCACAATGTGGAGAGTGACTTAGGTCAGTAGCTGTGTTTTCATTACAAATTCGTCGATATTCCGCAAATATTGGAAAAAATCTAATTTGTCAATTACGGAGTTTCAAATTAAATAAGAAACATGATTAAAATTACGAGTGAATAAGTTTGATCATGCAGAAAGTAATTAAAAATCATCCTCCAACCACTTCCTGTCGTCTTCTTCGTCATTTCTGCCAGTAGTAACATCCTGTTGTTGAGCTACGGAGGAGATCAACAAACAGAATTCTGATTTTTTTTTCTTAGAAGTTTGACATCTTTACTCACAATCCCAATTTTGTTTCAAAGATTT